CAAATTAGTAATGGCACACTTCGGCTATAAGAATGCTTTCCCTGATAGAAAAAGGGGACAGAGCTTCGATTACTCTTGGGAGACACATTTTTGTTTAGTAGGATTTGAGAATTGATTTCTGATTGTAAGTTTAAGTGTCATTTTAGTTCATATTTCTCTTAAAACTTCCTAATTGCTCACATGTTATATCTATAGCATTTTCAGCCTCATTCTGCTTAATGTAGATTTTTTTTCCTTTTTTTTTCATGATTGGACGATGGAGTTAGTGATTTACCTTTGTATGCAGCAGAAGATATGTAAATACAAGCATTAATATCAACTGGCCTAGACTGGGAAAATGTGAATCTAGAGGGGAATCGAACCTGTATCTCCTTTTTCCATTAGGGAAATCACTCTTATATCTGATGCATGCCATTACCAATTTGGCCATGGGAAGCCAACATGACAAAACAATGCTCAATTACCTATTTAAGGAACCCATATATTTCATTGGAATTTCTTCAAATGTCTATTTGCTAGCTTTATCTTTGTACCAAAAACATAAATACAGTAAATTTTTAATGAATTTTCATTTTAATCTGACATTATTTCTTATGACCATAAATGTTATTTTTATGTTATGTTTATATTTTGGGTATTTTTTTTAATTAGTTTCACCCTAAGAAATATGGAAGGAATGAAAGTGGTTTGCTGCAATGTTAGTGGCATGGCAGATCCTCGCCATGAAGGTTTTAACTGGCAGAACCAAGGAATGCAGTTCATCTGAGCACTTTCCATAGAAGTAGCAATAGAGCAGTGAAAGTTTTGCCACATCATGCCTGGGAGAGGGAGGTTGGAGAGTGGAAAATAATTTGTTGCCTACAAGGGTTTGAAGATGTTTTTGGACTCTATCGAGACTGGAAACTGTGTACTGGGCAGCTCCTGCTCAAATATGACAACAGTACTCCATTTTAGGCTTGACCTGACTCTTGTAAAGGTAGAGCAGTGATTCCCAAACTTTTTTTCTTTGGGTCGCATTTTCAGAATTAAAATTTGCTCGCAACTCACCAAATTTTATGTGACAAAAGGAACATTAAAAACTAAAAAAAAAGCAATAAAGTTAAAGGGAGATAACTGCAAATTTTAAGTCAGAACATTATCATTGATAACTCTCTCTTCCAATTTGCAGAGCCTCGTTACTATTATTTTAATACTTGATATAATGCAAAAATATCACAATGATAAAATCAGTCAATAATTATTTATAACGATTTATACTGGGACTCATGCATGCATTTACAAATGAGTTTTAAGGTTCAAAGATATTTTAAATGGGGGTCATTAGGGAAGGAACAGAAACAAATTTGAGTCTCTGGTTAAAAAGTTTGACAATACTTAGTCTAACTAGAGGCAGTGCCTGCAACAAATTCAATAGATTTTATCTATCCTAATGAACAGAATGGTATCTCTGTGAAATTTCAAAGTTAGAAGATAAGTCATTTTAACTTTTATACATATGGATTAACTATACTAGTCCAGTACATCTCAATTCACTAACAGCAAGATGATCAAATTTCAAATCTAAATTGTTGGTCCACATAAAATACAGGGAGTCCTCGACTTAGGACAGAGTTCCATTGCTGTGATGTGTTGTTTGAAGATGTTTTTGGACTTTATCAATACTGGAAATTGTGTACTGGGCAGCTCCTGCTCAAATATGACAACAGTACTCCATTTTGGGCCTGATCTGGCTCTTGTAAAGGTAGAGTAGTGGTTCCCAAACTTTTTTTCTCTGAGCCACATTCTCAGAATTAAAATTTGCTCACAACTCACCAAATTTTATGTGATAGAAAGTACATTTAAAAATAAAAAACAGAGAGGTTAAAGAGAGATAACAGTGGATTAAAAAATCAGAACATTATTATTGATAACTCTCTCTTCCAATTTGCGGACCCTATTTACTATATTCTTAATACTTGATATAATGCCAAAATATCACAACGATAAAATCAGTCAATAATTATTTATAACTATTTATACTGGGACTCATGCATGCATTTACAAGTGAGTTTTAAGGTTCAAAGATATTTTAAATGGGGGTCATTAGGGAAGGAACAGAAACAAATTTGGGTCTCTGGTTAAAAAGTTTGACAATGCTTGATCTAACTAGAGGCAGTGCCTGCAATAAATTCAATAGATTTTATCTTATCCTAATGAACAGAATGGTATCTCTATGAAATTTCAAAGTTAGAAGATAAGTCATTTTAACTTTTATATATATGGATTAACTATACTAGTCCAGTACATCTCAATTCACTAACAGCAAGATGATCAAATTTCAAATCTAAATTGTTGGTCCACATAAAATACAGGGAGTCCTCGACTTAGGACAGAGTTCCTGTGATGTGTTGTAACACAATTTTCCATGTAAGTCAAAATGTACCCATGATTTTCTGTGAATAAGCACTTATGTTATTCACTTATGCTAATGCAATAGTATAATAATAATCTAGGACATAACAACACATTTCTGTATATTAACATAATTAGGGTTAAAAAGACGGAGGATATAAATATAATGCTTATAATGAAATGAAATTATTTCAAGCTGCTTATATATTTATTGCCAGTGATGTCATTGAGATGATGAAGCATAAGATCTTGTCTTTCTTGCAATACTCGGAAGCAGCAGAAAATCTAGGGAAGAAAGAAAAACAAACATGAGTTTGTTTTACTTTTTTATTGGGAATTCTCTAACTTAGAGTTTAACAAAAAATGTCTTTATCTCTTACAAGGAAGCTCAATATGTATAGACATATGTACATGTTTTAAGGTACATAAAAACATATTCTTCTGCTGCACTAGATATTCTTTCACTATGTCACATATTCTTCCTCCACTCCATTTGTGTTGTATGTTCGAGGCTAAGTGGCATAAGCTGAAACAAGATTAATGGAGATTACGTTGTAACCATGAATCACCATAGGTCAGGACTGTCGTAAACTGGAGACTTACTGTACAACATTCATTAGAAAATATATTCAGTTTAAATACAGATGTCATAAAATGACTTCAAAGTACCGCATGTTCCAGTTTATATTTTTTTCCTGTTATCCAGGGTTTTTGCCAGATAGAAAGGGAAATTAGCCCTTGTGACACAGATGCCCATTTCAATTTCATTCAAAATATATGTGTATGTATCAGGTCATCCCATAAGTTCTGTCTGAATATTGAATAAAGAAAACAAGTGACCAAATGTTACATTTAATTACAGATTCTATCAACAATGTATTTTCCCGGATTATCTATGAATTCCTTCCATCTATTAACAAGCTTACTAATTCCATTACTGCAAAATTCTTTTGGCTTTGATTTGAAGAACTCACAAATATCAGTTTTAACCTCTTCCTGTGTTAAGCTACGAAACAAATGGTAGTCTGAAGGAGCAAGATCGGGAGAATAAGGTGGATGAGGAATTTTCTCCCAACCAAGTTCTTCGATCTTTTGTGATGTGATTCTTGCTGTGTGGGATCGAGCATTGTCCTGATGAAACATCACCTCTTTTCGATTCACTAGAGCAGGTCTTTTTTCCCTCAAAGCTTGGTTCAAACGCTCTAATTGCTGACAGTATATTTGAGCATTAATTGTTGCATTAGGTGGTAAGAATTCAAAGTGGATTATTCCTTGGTGATCCCACCAGATTGAAAGAACATTTTGCCCATGAAGTTCCCTTCTTGGCTGTGGGTGGGATCCTTCCCCTTTACCAAGCCACTGTCTACGATGCTTAACATTTCGATAAAAGATCCATTTTTCATTGCCAGTCACAAGTCTATCCAAAAAAAGATGAAACAAGTTGGCGAGAATGGAGAGAAGAGCAGATGTCAACTCGGGATTTGAGGTTGTTTTCAGACAATTCATGAGGCACCCATTTTCCAAGTTTAGGAACTTTTCCAAGTTGTTGAAGATGACAATGAACAGTTGTATGGTTTGAACTGAGAACCACTGCCAATTCCTCAACTGATAAAGCAGGATTTTCTTCAAGGGCTGCTTCAAGAAGCTTTTCATCAAACTCAACTGGACGTCCAGTTCGATCTTCATCTTCAAGGGTGAAATCTCCACTTCTGAATTTTGCAAACCATCTTCTGCAAGTTCTTTCATTCACACATTCCTCTCCATAAACTGAGTGAATGTTTCTAGCCACTTCGGCTGCTGAGTTTCCTTTCTTGAACTCATAAAGCATTATGTGCCTCAAATGATTCTTGGGTACTTCCATATTAGCAGGGTTTTAATCAAACAAAATTTAATTTTATTGTTCTCTGAAATAAAATTTGATCAGTTTAAATGCATCTAAACATAAAAATAATGTTCAGCTCCATTAGACATTATAAAATACTCTTTAAATTTCGTTCATTTTAAAAAAAGGTAAAATTCGGACAGAACTTATGGGATGACCTGATACATTTGTTTGCGCACATGTATATTTTAATTCAATGACAAATGAAACAATATTCCTACAAAATTAAAAAAAGAAATTAATAATTTATTTTATTAATGAATAATTTCTGAAAAGTTAATGTTTTGATTGATTTTATTTTTTACACCTTATCAACCTTTTTTAGGTTATTCAAAGCCAAAACCTGTTTTTTTGTTGTAAGAATAATTCTTTTTATTTTTGCGATTTACTATTGTATTAACAATTTTTTCGAGATAATAATGATTTTCAGATACGAGTCCTACTATTTAACCCATATAGGGGGAAATGGGGGTGAATTCAGACCTTTACCAAGGATATTTGCGTGTAAGTGAATGCAGCAAAGCTGATCAGAATTCAAACTCGGCTCTCCAATTTTCTCATTCCTTGTCATTATCCTTTATACTATCTGCATAGCCTAGTTTACAGCATCTGGCATTCCCAAGCAGTCACCCATCTAGGTACTGTTGCTTAACTTCAATGATCATAAAGGAACCAGTGTTTCAAAATGATATGGCCATAAACACTTTACACCACCCACATGTCCAAGCTTGCAGCACCTGGTATTTCCAAATGGTCACTGATCTAGGTACTGATCAAGCTTGACACTGCTTAACTTTGGTGAGTGGATGAGAACCAGAGTTTCAGTGTGATATAGCTGTAAGCCTCCAAAAAGTTCAATAAAATCTTATAATTATTTGATTTCTCATGTTTTAGAAAATGAATTTTTTTTCCTCTAACATTTTTCAAGTGTTATGTACATTATATATTATATGTTCTAATCATTATATACATATATTAGGGTGTTCGTAAAATAATTACATATCTCAACATTCCAAATTATGAGTCAACCTGTAGTGCGTAACTCAACTTAGATGATAATAGAATGGACTTTGCAATCAGAGTCTTTCCAGAAAACCAGGTGCACCAGTAGATTGTCCTCCTGGCTACCTATTAGCCACCAGGTGCAGATCCATGTCTTATAGGATGTCAGTGTCTGACCATGATAGGTAGACATCTGTTTGACCCAGCTGCGCCAAGAATGTGCAACCGCGGGAAAAAAATCAGTGACAAGCAGCCTGTTCTTTTATTGTACTTTCTACTCCCTAAGGTTTTCTCATTTTCTTTCACCCTCAGTAACCTCTTGCATTGTAGTGGTACTATTGTCTTGCATGGGGTGAAACAAAAACATCCACACTAGAGATTTAGAGAATCTCTCACATTCACATGAAAATGTAGAATCTACACTTGGAGTCAAAGTCAAACACCCACTGGCTAATCACAATTGCTAAAGCCCAGGTTTGAATAAATTGTAATGTCATGTGTGAGAGATTACATTTCGTGTTTTCATTATGAAATGTGCAATGGTAATAGTAGTCATTTCCTTATAAGGAAACTTTCTGCATTCATTGACCAAGCAGCCAGTGCTACATAAGTTGAGCTTTTCTGCACTTCCTGGTCATCAAGCTGGGATCAAAGGGTAGTATCTATTCTCCTCATCTCTAAAGGTAATATTAGCGTTTTCCTTATAAGGAATCATTTGGCATTCATGGAGTGAGAATCCAGTGCTACTGTTATTTGAAATTTATAAAATATTTCTCTTCAAGCAATTTTTTAGGAAAATAGGATTCTCAAGTCCAGTAGCTGTTATCACTCTTCCCAGTATTGATGGCAGCTTCCTTCCTAAGCTTTTGTTTCAAGTAATCCAGAATATCAGAATCTTGATTATGTCATTATTTTCTCTTTGAGTTACATTTTAGTTGTTGAACATCCTCAAGTGACATGGTTTCTGTTATTTAGTACACTTTTTTTTTGTGATTTTGTAGTGACAGTCCATAAAGTTTGAAGAAGGAAGGTCCTCACTGTGACCTACAGGTTTCATTTTCTCAAAGCAATGCTTAATTGATCTTATAAAGCAGTTACATACAGCTGATAGTTCAGATATTTTTGAACCATGTTGGCACAGTCTCAGTCTGATGAGGCTATTTAAGAACATGACAAAAGTTTTTACATTAATGCTTTGGTTTTGTAGCAATTTGAGGTGTTGGGAAAAACTAACCCTTGCACAACCTATTCTTTGGTCAATTTCATTATCTCTTATACTACATTTGTTATAAATGATCCCTATAATGAGGTAATTGAAGTATTTGGTATTTCCTAAATCCACACCCTGAATTTTTATGATGGATTCAAGGTAGGTTCCATCACTGTTTACATTCCTATTTAAGATCATAGTTTCTGTTTTGGGAAGGTTTATCTTGAGTCCTATTTCTTGGAACACTAGGTAGAGGATGTTGACTTTCTTTTTGTTTAAGATTATTCTTATTCCAACAATGAATAACTATATCATCAGGATGTCCCTATTCCACATTAAAAAATAAGATTTTTTTCTACATGACTTAAGTATTTATAGACAAGACAAATTCAAAATCTGTATTAAAAAAGAGCTGATTTTCTGTCTAAAACACACTGTCTGTGTGTGACTTTGCATGTGCATATGTACGGTTTATAATATCTTTGTCTGTGTTGCATGTGAGTGATTTATATGTGTGTTATGGTCCGGTTCCTGTGTACTACGGTGATAGTCCAAGGTAGAACCAATAAAGAAGAACTCGAACACAGGTATGGAATAACACAGATATATTACAAACAGGAATATATACAGAGAAGTAGAAGTGTTAGTATGAACAATCAGGTTTAGTAGAGAGAACAATGTAGTCTCGACCAGTATCATTATTCCAATGTCTTGCAGTAATTGTCTGAACGTAACTCTGTTTCGGACTGCCTCTGACTCGACTCTTGACTCAACTTGAACTACTGACGATATTCAGTCACCCCCACCACTAGGGCAGCATGTGACACAAGGTTGGTTATTTATTGTGGGTTCTCTGAGCCCGTGGGCTCGGCCCAAAAATATGCCCATTGAACCCATATAAACGGGCTCAGGGCCGGTTTACCTCCCCGAACGAGACTCTGCCCCTTGGCATAGCCTCATTCAGGTTCCTCCCTGCCCAAAGGCAGAGAGTTCAACCGAACAGTCGGTCAGGAGATGAATGACTGATGATATTCAGTCACACCCCGCCCCCATGAGGGCGTCATGTGGCACAACGCCTTTTTAACGTGGGCTCTCCGAGCCCATGGACTCGGCCAAAGATATGCCCATTGAACCTGTATAAACGGGTTCAGGGTCGGTTTACCTCCCCAAAAGAGAATCCGCCCTTCGGCGTAGCCTCTTTCGGATTCCTCCCTGCCTGAAGGCAGAGAGTTCAACCAAACAGTCAGTCAGGAGGTAAATGACTGACTCCTTGCCTCCTCCTGAGGTGCTGTATTTATTAAGTATGGAATTGTCCATTATTATTATTATGGGTAAGATACCATAACAATGTGCTTGTGCTATATACACACAGTTTGACTAAGTTTGAAATTAGCCATTGGAATAATTCCCCTCTCACTCAGTCTGGACAACCCCTACACTGAGTCTTAAAGTTGGAGACAAGACAAAGAAAAATTTTCAGCTCCAAAACATTAAAAGGTAATTTTAGATAATTATGAGACAATTCTAAAATAATCATAAGATAATTATAAGATTTTACCTAACTTTTCAGAAACTATAAGTTAATAAACAGTGTTGTATGTTGTGGGGGTAAAAATAAGTCACCACTTTAATGTGGGATTTTACACTATTGATACAAGTGTGTGGAATTGTGAGCATTTTTTAGTAAATATTTATGAGCTCCTGGAATTTTTGTCCCACAAACAATATTGGTAGACTAATGTTAGTCCAGGCAAAAATAAAAAGCACAAAACAATGAATTTAAAACAAACAGCAATTATATGCATGTATCAACAAAAGTAATTGCATGTGTACACAACTGAAATGAAAGGAAAAGACATTGAAACTAACTATAAGAATGTGCTTGTGTGTGTGATAGACACATCATACTTATTATAAAACCTAGGTTGTGTGTGTGTGTCTGTTCGTTTATATATTGGATCAGATTTCCTACACTTTTCAACTTCACAGGACTACATAAAAAATTGGAAAAACACAATTGTTTTTGCATGAAATCAATTTGTAAACACAATTAAGAGGCATCACTGTCGCCAGAATGAAAGGGGGACAACTCATATCGAGTTATACTTATTATAAAACCCAGGTTGTTTGTGTGTGTGTGTGTGTTCATTTATATATGGGATCTGATTTCCTACATTTTTCAACCGATTTCAACAAAACTTCACTTTTTTTTGGCAGGTAGTGTTTCTTATTGTCTTGCACACTTTTTTCTTTATTTTTACATTCAGAATGCTTTAAAAATTCCATTTACAAGACAATTGTTTATAATAAAATTCTATTCAATCGGTAGACTCATAACGATTGAAAACAATCGTTTTGTTTAAGCTTGGGTTTGACCAATTCGTAAAAAAAAAAGAAGAAAAAACTAATTAAGACATGCGTGTCCGTCAACCTTAAACAATAATCTTTGTCAATTTTATTTTTCAGTCTTTATGATGGTCGATACTTGATCTATCTCTTACTGTTACATCCCCGGGCAACGCCGGGCTCTACTGCTAGTGTGTATATATGTGTGTGAGAGAGTTTAAAAGTGCACAGAAGGCCAAGGAAGCATATGCACCCCAGGAGTAGTATTCTTGATCTACAATCAACTAAATCTGAAAGCAAGAGGAAAAAGAGAGAACATGCTTGTCTTTTTATAGACTAAAATAGCGCACACTAATGAGTGTTTTTGGCAAAGCCAAGTGGGGTAATCCACAATAGTATTATTTTTTAAAGCTTCTTTAAAATTTTTCAGGATTGTCATTGAATTAAAATATACATGTATATACATACATACATACATACATACATACATACATACACATACAATGTGAATGAAAACAAAACGGACATCTGTATCATGAAAACTAATTTTCTTTTCTGTCTGACAACAATCCCTGGAAAAGAGGAAAAGCTTAAATGTGTAGCTCTTTGAAGTCATTTTCATGCCGCCCGTTTTTTAAACTAAACGTATATTGCTAATAAATGTAGTATTTTAAATGGACAAACAATTTAGATTTGAAATTTGATCATCAGTAAAGCATCACGTTCTGAACTAGTAGAAATAAAAATAAATAATTCAATGAAAAATTTAGTTAGTAATTAAAAACAGAACAAGTAATTACTTGTTGCAACACACCAATTTGGAAAGCTCTGGCTTAGGATCAGACACATACACAAAATCAATTGAATCCCGCATAGACCAACTTGAATTGTGAAACACAAACTCACATGAATTATACACACAAACACTGCTTGACAGGACAAATATATGTGAAGCCTGCTTAAAAAACAAACGACAGAAAAATAAAGAAAAAACATAATTTTCTTTTCTCCATCTTTTCATTTGTCTGGTGATTGTTTTTTACAAGAACCTATGGTGTTGGAGGGGAGTGGATTCGTTGTTACTTGTTGCTTTATCAGAAGGTAGGTAGTAGTAGCAGTCCTTCGGGACAGCCGCTAGTTTGGCCTAAAGGTTCAACAAGCAATCAATTTGAGGTCACCATACATAAACAAAATAACATACGAAAGAGAAGGGTATATCAAAACACTTTGTATTAAAATACAACATCAATGAATAGTACAATTTTCTTGATTCACACGCA